TTTTCCATTCACCGGAGGCGTGCCTTCAATGTTTGGATCATTCTCAGCGACTGACCCTTACTTCTGTTTCGGCCTGCAATTTGTTTAGGAAGGAACGCGTAGCGAAATGAATCTTTTTTTTGTTTGTTTGTTTGTTTTCTTTAGTCGATCGGGAAATAAATGTATAAAAAACAACTTTACTATTTATTACATGTGCCTTATTATTATTATTATTTGTTTTTTTACTTTTTTTATGTGTGAGAATCTTTGATTTGATTTTAATGATGAGCCCCGATGCACCGTCGTTGTGGCTCCATTTTTGTTGTTTTGTCTCATCACCTCCAGTATCACCATTGTCATCGTTGCCTCTTGACTTTTTCCTTTTGGAGCGGGGGAGGGATGTGCTTGACTTCTGCTGTTTACTCGGGGAAATGGGAGGAGGAGGAGGAGGAGGGTGTGAGTGAATTTACTTTTTTCTCCCCCTTTTTTTTTTTTTTTTTTTTTTTTTTTCCTTTTCTTTCTTAATTGTGTTGTGTTGTGTTGCCCTTTGTTGCGGACGCGTTGGTTCACGAAGAGTAACGGGAAGGAGAGAGGGAGAGGGAGTCCGAAGAGTCTTGTATCGAGGCACGAAAGAGAGTCATAACCGTTGAAGGCACAAACAAAAAGAAAAAAAAAAGGGTGGGGGAAAAAAGAAAAGGAAGAGACATTCAACGATTTATAACGATCGACTGTGAGGAGCGACAGGGGAAGGAAGGGGAGAAGGAAGATGGACAAACAGGCGGAAAGAGACCAGAGTGCGGGTCCGGTGAAGACACCGCAAGAGACACAACCCCCGGCACACAACTACACATATCACACCAACGCGGCACAGAGGGCGGTGTATGATTACCTGAAGAATGTGAAGCCCATTCCAGAGCTTGCGGAACCAAAAACATATAAAACATATGAGGAAGCATCTGTAGAAGCGGTATTGTACCCCATCATTGAAAAGCACCAGGTGATCATGGTAGCCGGAGCATTCTTTGGCGATGAAGGAAAAGGAAAGACGGTCAACGCTGTCGCGAACCACCCAGGTTGTACATTTATTGCACGTGTGAACAGCGGTGAAAATGCCGGTCATACAGTGTACGATGACGCAGGACGCAAGTTTGTTTTTAATCTCGCTCCCTCTGGATTGCTTTCAAAAGGAAAACGTAATTATGTGGGCCCGGAATGTGTTATGGATCCCATCAGTTTTATGGAAAATGAGGTGAAACAACTGATTGAGGCGAATGTTCCGTATAAAGAGCAGTTATTTATTGGCAACGTCAGTATTGTTACACCTTATCACAAGTTACTTGACCTGCTTGCTTCAGCGCCCAATTCCTCGACACTGAAGGGCATGGCACCCATTCACGCATCCAAAGTGACAAAACGTGGTATTCGTCTGGATCACATTTTCAATGACCAGTCTGTGCTCCGCTCGCGCCTCAGGAAGGACATAGACACGTACTTTGGCTTTTTGAAGGTCAAGGGTCTGTCGGATGCAGACGTTTTGCGACGCTGCGAGAAAGAGAACGGTGACGGTGTGGTGCGAGTACCACCCTATGTGGTGGAATTTGTGCAGGCCGAGGACAAGGTGGAGTACCTGGTCAAACTGTACATGGATCGTGTGAGGAACAACAAGAATTTTCCAGCTCGGTGTGATGTGGCACATGAGTTGCGCTCTGCGCTGTCGCGTGGTGAGAAGGTCATGTTGGAAGGACCACAGTCTTATTGGTTGAGTAATGCCCGTGAAAAATTCTGGGAGAGCACTACTTCTGCGGACACAACGGCGTCTGGTCTGTTGGCCACGGCACAATACAACTTTCAACTTTACAGCTCCGTGGTGATTAATGTACACAAGGCGCCGGGGAGCAGCCGTGTTGGAGTTGGGGCCAACCCCAGCAGCTTCGTTGCACAGGACTATTTTTCCGCAAAAGGTGTGAAGACGCTACGAGATCTTCCTGAAAACATGTGCGTGGACTTTGACAGCATTCAGAAACTGTTCTTTACCAAGGCATTTCACCCGGAGACTAAAGAGTACAACGGTATCTGGGAGCCGTTGGAGTTTGAGGACTCCACTGGCAAATATAACATTGGCGTTGCCATGGCCGTCGCTTCTTCGCGTCATCATGGCGAATGTGGTGCGGTGACGAAGAAGCCTCGTGTGTGCGGATTTTTTGACTGTGTGCTGCAATACGAGGTGAACGCGGTCCAGGGGCCGTACCTCTCCATCTCCGCACTCGATCGTGGTGACGATTACGATAAGCTCGGTATCACTATCGCCTACGTGTACTACAACGGCAAGAACAACGAGGTGCTGAACATCAACGGCCGCGAGTACAAGAACGGCGACATCATTAAAGCCGGTGAGGCGGTGCCAGGGGAGGCTGCGCTGTATTACTGCCACCCCATTGTGAAGCTCATTAACGGATGGAAACAAACCCCCATTGCCGCTTCCAAGCGTAAACCCGGCGATCCGCTGCCACGAGGCGTCTGCGAATTCCTCAGCACGGTCGAGTACTTTACCAAAGCGAAGATCATCTCCATCGGCAACGGGCCAAGGGGAAAGGACATCATATATATTAAGCAGTAAAGAAATAAAATATACGCGTGCGTGGAAAACTAAGAAAAAAAAGAAAAAATAATAATAGTAATGAGAAACAAACGAACAAAAAAGAAAAGAAAACACAAGTACGCAACAGCTTTTTAAAATATGATAGAAGAGAAGGATGGAGAGAGAGAGAGGGAGGGAGAGACGTGCGAAAATTAAATAAAGAGCGGACAAACAAAAGAGTAGCAATAACAACAGATTTGAAAAGGCTACTTGAAGGAATAAGTCCTTTTTTTTTTTTTTTTAATAATTATTATTATTATTTTGTTTTATATAAATATATATGGTTAGGAGGGGAAAAGAAAAGAAAAGAGGGAAAATAAAAAGGGGAATGTTTGACCGAAGAAGCCATGGCGATAACACGTAGTTTGATGAATGACTTATGAATCTGTTGACTCATGTTTTTTTTTTTTTTTTCTAATTGTTTGCCTTTGTGCATGTGTGTGTGTGTGTGTGATGTGTGATGGAATATTGTCTGCGCATCTTTGTGGATCGACAGGTACACTTGGTTTTTTAACTCAATGGATAGAGGAGATTAAGCAATACGAATGGCTGAAGAAATATATTGGCCGATGGATTCTGGGATTACGAGGAAATTTCATTTCTTGTTTTTTGTTGTTTTTTTTTTTTTTTTTTTTTTTATTGTTGTTGTTCGTTTGTCTTTATGTTTTTTTGTTTTTCTTCCTTTTGCGGGAACAACACGTGGAGTGAAACGGCACACGTGGACATACACAAACACACAGAGGCACACACACACGTGTGCGGATGTATAAATACGTACATGTATATATGTATATTCGAAGATATTTATTGGCTTTTGGTTGGATTCCTTTTCTTTTTTTTTTTTTTTTTTTCCTTTTGGTTTGTTTTGTTTGCCCTGCTCCTTTGCTCTTTTTATGTGCATTTATGTCCGGTGTGTTTATAAGCGCCAGCGACAACTTTTGTTGTTTTTGTTGTTGTTTTTTGTTTTTTTCGCTTGCACACGAAAATGCGCGGGTTTCATGTAATTTTTCCCTTTTTTTCCCCTCCTTTTTTCCTTTTCCTTTTCCTTTTTTTTTTTTTTTTTTTTTTGCTACTTTTTGCCTTCGTGTTCTTGGAGGGGAGGGAGGGGGTCAAAATATATTTGCCTGTGCGACTTCCATTTCCTTTTCTCAGTGATGTAAGCGGGTGTTCATGGGCGTGCATATATGTATGCTCAACATCGTGTGTGTTTGCCTCTCTGTGTGAAAGAATGGGTGGGCGGGTTGATGACGCCGTCGTCAGGGTCTTGTGGTTTATTCCTTTGGTGATGCGTACCTGCACTTTTATATGGATCGATGCTTCTGCTTCACTTTTTGTTGTTGTTGTTTTTGTTTTCCTTTTGTGTGGCATGTGTGTGTTTGCTTGTTGTTGTGCTGCGGCGCTGGCGCAGTACGAGGAGGAGAGGCATACACGACAGGTCCACCCCTTCCCTCCCACAGCGGTGAAACGGGAAAAGGGGGCTTAAAGCGAAGGAAGGGAAGTCACTTCATTTGATAGAGGAGGCAACGACAGGGAAGATGGCAGCGGAGAGTCAGGAGCAAATGCACGAGGATGCAGCGATCAACAGTGACATGATTCAGGAGGAGGTCTCTGGTCTGCTGCGAGGGAAGTTTGCACAGGAGACGTGGAACCCGCGCAAGGTGGATGTGTGGGTAGACGACGTCGTGGAGAACGTCTTGAAGAATCTTGCGGACCTGAAGAAACCATTTAAGTACGTCGTTAATTGTGTGGTGATGCAGCGAACAGGCGCCGGCATCTCCACGGGATTTATTAGTCTCTGGGACAACACCCTTGACGGGGTTGTTCATGTGCCGTTTGAAAACGACACACTGCACTGTTTTGTCACCGTCTTCTTTTTGAAGTTGGATTAACACACAGACGGCAGGGGAATTAGAGAGCGGAGGTAGCGGGAAAACAAAAACAAGAAGAAGAAAGAGAAGGGAAACGGATGCGTCTGCATGTATGGTATTGTTATTGGTGGTGGGAGGGGAATTATGGCGCTTGTGGGTCGTGGCTTTTCTCTGCTTTCATTATTATTTTGTGCGAGTGGTGACTTCTTCCACAGGCATCTTCCACTTTGCACCCATTTTTCCCCGCCCTTTGACGATGTAAATTGAGGCAAAAAGAAAAAAAAAAAGAAACGAAGAAGTCAGAAGCAAAACCGTGTGGCTGCGAGTGTTGTGTGGGGTCAAAAGAAAAAAAGTTATTTGTTAATAACCCACCACCTCCTTTCAAGTGCTTTTCTTTTTTTTTTTTTTTTTCTGCGTTTATCTGTGTGCATGTACTCCGTATGAATTGGGAATATATATATATATATATTTACGCCCTTGCTGCTGCTTGTAGGGCGATGGGCGGAGGTGGTGACAGACGCATATCTTTTAGCCTTTCTCATGTATGAATCCCCTTCCTTTTCAATATATATATTTTTTTATTTTTCTTTTCTCTCTTTTTTCTTTTCTTTTTTTTTTTTTTTTTTTTTTGGCTTGACTTTGAGCGTTTCGAGCGAGCGCATCTCTCACACTTCCCACGGCGGGAGAAGAAGGGAGGAGACACGAGGGCACCCTTCTTTTTTATTTATTATTCTGCTTATTTGTGCGCCGCACGTTTTAATGATCGTACGCCGCCTCCGGTGCGCTTCTATTCTGCTGCCGGGGAGTGACACGCTGCGACGACGTCGTCGGGCGGGACTGCGTCATGGCAGCAGCGTCATGGATGCCTTTGCGTTGACCGCCGCTGACAGGGAGCATGGCTCGTTACATGACAATAGGGGCGGCTTGTCTTCGCACGACACGCAACCCGCCGACAACATTTACGACCCCCGCCATGAAGAATCATCCGAGACGATGCTTCCATTCACGGAGGGCGCATACTGCGGCGGCGATGAGGCAGAGGGTGGGCAGCATTGCGTCGTAGAAGGAGAGAGGAGTGTTGGTGAAAAGGACGAGCTACGGTCACTGCGTCTCTCAGCGCGGACCCTACGCGACGCCGCGGAGCGAGAAATAAAGGCGGAAATTGAGCGCGACTCCCGCGATGGTGTGGCAGCAATTCCGCCGTTGCCACCATCCGGGTGGAAGGTGCAGCACCCGGCGGGGTCCAACTACTTTGTCATGACAAGGACACTACGTGGCGGGGCGAAATCGGCCGAACAGCAGACACGGCGCTACCAAAGCGTGCACGATGTTTTTCTTAAGGCTCTGAAAGAGAATCAAAGACAAAAAGTGCTTCGTGTCCCGAAGCAGAGAGAAGAAAAAGAAGAAGAAGAAGAGCAACAACAACAGGGACTTCAAGGACAAATGCAGGAGCAAGCACGAAATGGCATGGATGACATTGCATCCAGCAGCTCTTTGCAATCAAGGGGTTCCTTTAAAAAGATGGTTGTGGATTACACTGGTCAAAATCAACATCGTGCAGTGCTTCGAGAGATGACGGCTTCAAATGATGCAGAGCACGTGGATAGAATGGATGTTTGCTTGACGGTGTTTGCTCCTTTTCGCGTTTACGATCCTTCCTTTCATGACCCTACCGTAGATATCTGCGAATGGTCCTCCTTTGACGTACTTGTGCGGAAGAAGAAGGCAGCCGAAAAGCAAGGTTCAGGGGGAAGGACAAACAATGCTCTCAACTCATTGGCGCAGTTGGTTCATGATCGTGCACTCTGTATGTTTGTGAGGCTAGCCAGTGTAAACAGCGAGATGCGAATTCGCTTCATCCAATTCCTTTCGATTAATGAGGCACAGGCACTGGAGGAGCACGCGTGTTTTGGCCGGGGCGAGCCAGGGTTTCTGGAATTGATGCGCCGTCGCCGTCAGATGCGCGCGAGAACACGTCCCTTTCGGTCACTGCGCCGCTACGATGAGCCTCTAACATTGCTTCACGAAGCGCCAGATACTCAAGACGCATCATCGACCAGCCCTCTGGCTATCGGATCACAACAGGGCTCACGCGGTAGTGCGTATGAGCTTCTGACGGAATGCTTTGACTCTACCGGGGAGTATAGTCGGACCTTATGCTACAGCGGGCCGTACCTGAGTGAGCTGTCCAAGGAGATGATGGGGGCGCTACAGGATTACCTTCAAGGGGACCTCGCTCTTTCGCAGGAGCTCTGCGAGTATGTCTGTCAAATGCAGTTCTTCCTGGAACAGGAAGAGTACATGGCGTGGCTGGGGAGGCTGCGTCATGTGGCCACCGTTGCCTCAGAGCGTAGTCACAAATAAAACGACGTGTGCGGTTGAGTTTCCATTCGGTGGTTTCAAATTATTTTCTCCTTGTTGTCTCTTCACCCATCTTTTTTGTTCTCATTGTTGTTGTTGTTGTTGTTGTTTGCCTGCTGTCGGGGTGCCTATTTGTCTACGTGTTACCCGTCTGGAATTTACGAGGAGATGCGTCTTAATTTTGTTTTTCTCCTCTCTTGTTTTTTTTTTTTTTTTTTTTTTTTTTGATGCTCTGATTGCTGCTGTCGCTGTTGCTTATATATATATATATAAGCCGTGCGACAAGAGGTAAGTGAAGGGACGAACATAAAACGCAAGAAGACAGAAGAAAAGAAGTGAACACCGAAGCAGGAAAGGAAAAAGAAGGAGGAGGAGAAGAAGAAGAATCAAAATATAACGGCCGCCAAAAGAAAAGAAGGAAAAGAAAGAAGAAAAAAAAAAAAATGGACCACTCGATCTCTCAAAAGGAATTAGATGAATTTAGGGAGATGTTCGACCTTGTGGACACGAACCACAGCGGCCGCATCACACGTGGGGAACTGCGCAAACTGATAAAGACACTGCAGCTGCGCCCCACAGAGCAGGAATTGGAGCAAATGTTTTCTGACGCCGAGGCGAATGAGTCGGCCAACGAGATAAACTTTGATGAGTTTGTGGCCCTGATGTCCAGGCGTCTCCAGTCAGACTACACGTTGGAACAGCTGCGAAATGCCTTTAAGCTTTTTGAGACGGAAGACATGCCGCCTGGCTATGTTTCGAGGGAGGTACTGGAGCACGCCCTTGTGTCTTACGGCACAGAGAAACTCACTCACGATGAGGCGACACGCCTATTGGCTGCGGTAGATCCTGAAGGAACCGGCAGGATCAACTATATTGAGTTTGTGTCCCTGGTGGGTGGCGGTGATCCCTGAGACGGCAGAAATAAAACGAATGCGGTGATGCGAAACGAAATGGAAAGGAGGGGAATAGGAAAAAACAAACAGACATGCACTTCTGTCGCAGGGAGCTGCTGTAGAGCAAATGCATTGTGTATGTATGTGTATTTGTGTTTGTTTTTCATTTTTTTTTTTATGCTGTTTCTCTTTCTCGTAATCCTCATGGATGTAAATGTTAGTTCTTTCACCCCTTTCTTCTTTATTTTTCCTTTTTTTTTTCTTTTTCTGATTTATTATTTTTATTTAAGCCTCCAATTTATAATTTTGCTGCGTTTCTGTTGCTGTTGTTCTGGTCTGCTTTGTCATTTATGCTGAAATGTGAACCAGCGAGACGCAGAATTTGTGATGGAACTTGATGTGTACTCATCTCTGCGGCCACATGTTATATACATATATATATATATATATATATATATTTGTCTGTGTGTGTGTGTAAGATGTTTGATGTTATTACTGAAGCTTCCTTCTTTTTTTTTTTTTTTTTGCTGGGCGGAGGGTAAAGGACTTCCTCACTTCCTCTCACTCTTGTGTGTGCCCCCAATGAAGAATTTGACATACAAGACGGTTCGTGGCGGGGCATGGGGGAAGACATCCTCACGTGTCGTCATTGCCCATGGACTTCTTGGAAACAGCTCGAACTGGGCGACAGTTTCACGTCGACTGGCAGAACACGACCTCCTGCGTTCCAAACTGCACGAGATTGACATGCTTGACATGCGTAACCACGGTAATAGCCCACACGCCTCGCCGCACACGAACGCCGTGTTGGCATCGGATCTTGAGGTGTTTACCCTGCAGCGACAGGCGGTTGCTTCGCCCCCTGACGACGGAGGTGTGGTGCTAATCGGTCACAGTATGGGAGGGTTGGCGTTGATGGCAATACTACTCCGCCGCGCAAACGAGTCGTCGCTACTGCTGCCAAGTATGGAGGAGCTTCAGATGCGTTTAGCCCGTGGGGATTACTACGGGTGGAAGGACGAACAAGGGTTTGCTCAAGAAATGCGTTCTGTCAACGAGTCGATGGGTTTCCCTGCTCAGCAACCACTTGATGCTCTCTTTGGTTGCAAGGAGGCTGTTTCTCCTGCATCCTCACGTCATTCACCAAAAAAAGAGCAAAAAAGGGGTCCGCGTGTCAATGCGGCCGTCGTTGTGGATATTGCACCGACGAGTCGTGTTGGATCGCAAAGTGCTCGAGCACAGAGTGTGGCCGTAACGCTTGACGCCATGGCGAGGGCGGATTTATCGCGAATGACTAGCATTAGGGATGCCACTGAGGAGCTTGAACGGGTTGGAGTGCGTGAAAAGGCCATGCGAGACTTTCTCCTAACGAACCTTATCCTGGACAGCAAGACGGGAAAATCGAAATGGCGCTGTAATCTTCCGGTACTTTGTACCGATTACAATCGGATGGAGTTGGGTCTGCTTGACTGGTTTCTTAACGCTCCGGTTGAGGGGGGTTGTTCAGATGGCGGTATGGTGGCCCCGACCCGATGCGCAATTCCAACGCTTTTTGTATTTGGAAGTGAGTCGCCGTACAACAGGCCTGAGGATCGGCTTTTGATTGATCGCTTTTTCTCAAACGTGACGCAGGCGGAGGTGGTTGGGGCTGGTCATTTTGTCCACTATGAAAAAATGCAGGAGTTTGTGGAAACAGTGGCGCCCTTTCTTGCGAGGTACCTTTTGAACACCGAAAAAGGAGGGAAATGAATGGTGAGAGATGAATGCAAATGTGCGGCGGTTCCTTTTGGTTGTTTTTTGAATGAGATGATATTGACGGCCGTTGTTTTTTTGGGCTGCTGCTTAATGGCTCGGAGGAAAATTGGTAACGATGGGGGGGGGGAACAGGTATTTATGCAGATTGTCTACAACTTTATTTGGTTTTTATTTCATATATATTTATTCTTTCCGTGTATGTTGCATACTACCTTTCTTTTTTTCTTTTTTTTTTTTTTTTTATGTGTGTTTGTGTGTGTGTGTCTTTGACGAAGGGAGTTTTGTTTTTTAGTTTACAATTCACTTGACATCAGAGTCAATTTTTTGGGAAATGACAGACAGTGAGTCGGACGTCGGAGCCATACAGCTTCGTAACAGGCTTCTTGAGCTTGTGTACACTAGCGGTGCTGTTTTTACGATTAGTCAACTTGCTCTCATTCTTGCGGTGGACAAGACAAGGATTGTGCATGAACTCCGACGATCGGATTTTCGCGGTATTGTGTACGACCAAGATGAGGAAACCGTGCACATGCGGCCTCAGCACCGTATGTCACCATCAGATACCATTGTCAGTGGTAAAATGCCCACATCACGCGGCATACGAAGATCACCGGGCATCGTAGAGAGCCGTTACGCCAATTACGGTAGCGACGGTTATCAACACTATCGGAGAAGTACGTTGGGGGGTGGGCGCGTGGTTTCAACAAAGAGTACCTATCGCAAAACAAAATATCGTCTCCCATTTGACGCGGATGTGGTCAGTGCTGACAATACGGAGAGTGCCTTGCCGAAAGGGCGTGTCGGTTATGTGTGTGTCGCCGACGAGTTTCACCTCAGGGAGTTAGAGGCGCACTATTGCGCACAGGGATATGACACCAAATTTGATTTTGATGTCCTACACATACGTTTCTCTGACAAGGAAATGAGCGCCAAAGGCACACGCACGTCCGTCCTTGCAGCAAAGAGCTTGACGAACTTCACAAATCCTACTTCTGCCGGGTGTGGGACACACGGCACACGCACTACAGAAGGTAGTAACAATGAAAACAACAGTAATAACAATAATAATAACACTGGCGGTGAAAAGCCGAGTGATCGATCATCGTTGCCTTCCGCCAAGAATCTTTGTAAGGCTGGTTTTGATTTATTTGTGTTTGAATATGGAGCTATTGTCTGGTGGGGGTTTGACCAGCGCTTTTTTAAAATTGTTGAGAATGATTTTATGCTTCCAAACAGTGCCATTTCAAGATACATGGAAAACCGCTACATGACTCAGCTCATTAGCGAGAATTACCCTGTGTGGTGCACATATACTCTTGAACGGAAGGATACATTAGAGCCTGACGAACACTTCCGGGAGAGGTTGCGTTTTGATCACTTTATTATACCCTTTGGACGTGGGGATATGGATACAAGCAACGTTAGCATGCTGTGTGCTTCGCATGCCCTCGCCCAGTCCGCGAAGATTGATTACCTGGAGCTGAAGGTGCAAGAGCTGGCGGAGAACTGCTCGCCGTTACCGCGTGAATTACGTGAAAAGGGACAGGTGAGCATTACTGAACGTCGTTTGTTGCAACTTCGTGGCGAG